TCGCTCGAGCGGAGGACTGACGTGCTTTCGAGGTGATGTGATTCCTGCGGCGACTGCAGCGAATAAACTCGCGGCAATACGTCGCCCATTTCGGCCATCATTTTGGGAGCGTGAGCAGCGGAGCGCATGTGCTGCACAGCCACAAAGAAGGACACGTTTTCAGAGCAAAAATGCTGCTCGGCAAAGTGCGTGAAAACGGTCAGGAGGCTCGGGTCGGCGATGATTTGCTCCAGCGTTGGTCGGGCATTGTGGTCGCCGCGGAGCAACGGGACAAACGGAGTCACGCTGCTCAAACTGACACCAGGACCAGAGTTGGAAAGCCGACCCGCCCGCTTGACTGGCGATGCTGGATCCGCCGCCGCCGCCGCTGCTGCTGCTGCCGCCGCCGTCGTCGTGGTGCCGGGTTTGTCAGACACAAGGAGCCGTGAGCCTGACAGGCTCGTGTCGCCAGATGATTTGCGACGCTGCAAGTTGGGCGCAGCACCGCCAGCGGGAACCTGCGCCACCAACTGACCCCTCTCGTTGGTCGTGAACGTCGGGAGCGGGCTTGCGACATCGTCCAGGAACTTGTCCGAGGACTCGCCATTCAACAATGCCTGCTTGTTGGCGGCGGCAACGTCCGAATCGCTGTGCGAGGCCGCTTCGTCCCGCTGGAGGGAGGCAAGCTTCGAGGTCGAGCTAGCGGCTTTGCGTGGCGACAGTGGCGATGTGGTCAAGGGCGCGGTCGAATGTGGCACGGATCCGACAGAGCCAACGCTCGTAGCAGACGAGCGAGACAGCTTTCGCAGCGAAGCACGAGTCGTCTTGGGAGAAGTAGTTGGCGAGGTCTGTCACAAAAAAAAAAAAAAAAAAAACATGTACAATTGGAAGGGGACGACAAGTGAGAACTTTGGTTGACAGGGCAACTTGAAAGGATAACAGGTGTGCCGTGCGAAATATGAGTAGGTGAGGTAGCTGAGTTTTCTTTGTGTTTTGTCAGTACCGGGCACAAGAGCTCGCTAAGGGAGGCGCAAATGTTGATATTGAGAGGCATTTGCAGCTTCGCTCTGACGGGTCTCAGAGAGAGAGACAGAGAGAGAGACAGAGAGAGCCGCGGGGTCGTCCAAGCCACACACAAAGAACGCGAACAACAAAAAGAATGCAAAAACCAAAAAAGAACGACTGAAACGCCAAACTAATTTGATCATTGGCCTTTAAATCCAGCTGCCAGTGCGAAAACCGAAGCTCGTTGCGAGGTGTGTGATGTGTACATGTGTTCTTAGCACGCGTGCGTCACCATCAATCGGCTTCTTGTATGTTTTGTTTGTTTTGTTTGTTTTTGGCCCGAGACATTCTCTGAGCACGACCATTCCCACACATTCACCAAAATCAGAGGACCCGGCACATCCACCACCGCTACCCGGAGGAAGGGCTCGGCGGAGTGCGAGGGTTGAGGGGAACCGAACGGGCCGCATTTCGGCGCGTGAATGAATGAATGGCGTGGCGGATTTTGTTGATCAAAACGCAGTGTCGCCTGCTTCTTCTTGACTTTCGCCGATGCACGCTTGCCGTCGTCCTCGCAACACAGGTCTCGCCGATACTTTTGATTCCTCGGAGCCACACGAAGGCAGCCAAAAAGGCATCACAAAGAACAGTAGTACACTGGGCTTCTGAGCGAAGCTTTCATTGCGACGGGGAGGAGGGTTGTTGGTTTGCAGAGACCATTGCTACTGCTGTCAGCGGGGGAAAGCGAGTTTGTTGATGGAACGAGCATGACGCGTGAGCCGAGACACGGGCTGCTGATCGAATGACAAACGGAGAAAGAAAACGCGGGTCGTCAAGCGAGGTCGTCACGCGCGGTCTGATCGTTGTTGTTGTTGTTGTTGCATTTTGCGTTTTTGTTTCAACGGGCATTCAAACCCGAACATTTTTTTTATCCCTTGTTGTGTGCGATGAATGTGTCGCGAGTTTGTTATTTTTTCGTGTTGGTGATGGAGCGTGACAAAGTAGGGGATAGTATGTGTGGCAGGCAGCTGTTGAGGGTGTTAGAATGAGGACAAAAGGAGGTATCTCGCACTCTCAGTGTCAAGTCTTTGCTTCTGTGTGTGTTTGCGTTTCCAACCGAAGGAAGCTCACACTCACAGACACAGACACACTCTTTGAAAAGAAAAAAACAAAGGACGAAGGCGAAGGAAGAAGCAGAAGAAGAAGTAGAAAACCGGAAGAATAAATAAAAACTTGAACAAATAAACAAGTTGTTGTGTTTTGTGTGTGCTTTTGAGCTGGGAATTCCAATTGTCGACAAACAAAATTCGTGATAATAATAAAGATGTGATGATGATGATGAATGTTGGATTCCATTCGAAAACAAAAAAAAAAAGAGACGAGGCTTCGAGTCGGAAGGAAGCGAGGAAGGCTTGAAAGTGACAGCAGAAGCACACGACAAACAAAGCGTCGTCACACAGAGAGAGCGAAAGAGAGAGAAAGAGCGAAAGAGAGAGAGAAAGAGAGAGGCGAACAATGTCAGTCGCAACCTTTTGGTTGTGTACATTCTCTCCGCTCTCTGCTTGTTTCGCTCGAGCTCGAGCTCGAGAATGCCTCATTCGCGCCGCGTTTTGCGCTTTTTTTTGCTCTTTGCTTTGTCCGTTTTCGCAATGCAGCGTGAGGGAGCACCACCACGGCGCTCACGCTCGCTGCAGCAAACTCCGACTGGCAACAGCGAATGGGTGACCAAACAAAAAAAAAAAAAATCCAATTTGCGCATCATCATCATCCGAGCTGTTTGCGAACCAGATTCACACACACACACACGCACGCGCACAGAAGTCGTTCCAATCGCAGGTTGCGCGCGGTTTGGAAGCTTCAGCGGGGGCGGTGAGGAGCGAAATGAGGAGGAAGCAGCGGCCAAAGATGCTTAAAGTACAAAATAAAATAAAAAAATAAAAATTCACAATTTTGACCCACACACTCGCAACCAGCGCGAGTTTGTTTGGTTTGGAGACGAGCGAGTCTGAGTGCAAAAGCACTTGGCGTGCAGGCAACAAAGACACCACACACAAAACAGTCAAAGAGTCGAGCACAAGGTGGAAATGGGCGTGAAAGCGCGGGAAAAAAACAATGGAAAAAAACATTGGAAAAAAAAAACCAGAGTTGCTGCGGTTTGATTTCGAAATTGCGCGACCAGCAACGAAGAGCGAGCGCGTGGAGCGAGAGCGACGACCACGGTGATGATGATGACGACGACGATGGAGAAGAAGGGCGACGAACAGAGCGAGAGACAGCAAGTGCAAGTGCAAGGAGAGCGACGAAATCGCAGGCTGGGAAGAAAAAAAAAAAACCACCAAGAAAACCACAGCCCTTTGGTTTAAAAAACCCAACCGCGGTCACTATGGGAGGAGGATGGGGGGGGGGGTGTTGCTCACCTTGGCAGCAAGATCAGCGCCTTCCTCAGAGATGACGCCGGGCTGCGGCATGTGGCGGGGAGACGCCGGCGGGGACGGGAGCGACGTGGCCGACGACCCAGACGACAAGCCCGCAAGGATGTCCAGCGTATGCGAGCTGCCGCCCGACGAGCGCCGACGCGAGCCGCTCACACGTCGTGGATGCAATGTCGCAAACATGGTTTAATAAGAATCAAAAGTGAAAAAATGGCGAGATTGAGAAAGAGTGTGTGAGAGAGAGACGGAAAAAAACAGAACCAAATGAGGGTTTGAAACGCGGTGG